CCGCAGACACAGGAATGCGGAGCTCAGAGCCCTGCGGGAGCGTCACTGGGCCCCGGGCTCCTGGCGGGAGATGCCCGCAAAGCCCCCGTCAGGAGCCACCACCACAGAGACTCCCCATCCCGCCCTGGTGCCGCCCGGGTGGGCACACACGCCGTGGGCACATGGGCCGCACACCCACACACACCGGCTGGCCTCGAGGACCCCACTCACCCCAGGGCCCTCCCAGAGCAAAGAGTGGAGCTGGTCTCTGCTGTGTAAGTCACAAAGCATCACATTCAACTCTGAACCTGTGCATCTCGTCACGAAGCTGAGATGTTCTTCTTCTTCACACTTTTTTTTTTTTAAAAAAGATTTATTTATTTATGCGTAGAAGAGCTGGGGTGCAGGTCAGAGGTGTGGAGGTGAGAGGACTCACCAGAGACAGAGCGGGGAACAGAACAGCAGACTGACTGAAATCCACTGCTGAGGGAGCAGCGGGTGAGGCAGGAGAGGTCTGCTGCGCCATGTGGGGAGCTCCCTGGCCGGGGATGGAATTCGTGCTGCAGAGGCTGTGGCCAGCTTCATAGGCTGCATCTTAACCCCTCACGCCTCCAGGGAGGCCCCTTGTTTACAGATTTAAATAAAGTGAACAAGCAGTGTGCGCAGCTGAACATGCAGAGCGTGCAGCCAGCCTTGATTTCTGGTAAGGACAAGCTGAACTGCGTACGAAGCTGTCCCAAGAGAACAGCACTCACAGGAGATCATAACGCGGCTTCATTTACATAAGGCACCTAACCCACGTGTGACTAAGCTAAGACTTCAGGGCAATTTAACTTATCAGGTCAGTACACGACAAACGCCTTGCAGCCTGAGCGTGTGGGAAGTCACTTTATCCACGTCCACAGCGCTGCGCTAGCGGTCTAGAGCTGTTAGATGTGATTTTCAAGATCAAAACCAAACCTACGAGGACCGACTTCGTGCCCTCCTGGTGCTGGTGCAGACATCCTGACCCTTGGGAAGCCATTCTCCAAACCCCTGCGGGGCCGCGGGGGGTCAACAAAATTCCTAAATGCAGTGGGGGGCCGGTCCTCTACCAGTGCCACCACCTCTACCAGCTGCCACTATGGCTGGGGAAACTGAGGCAGCTCCTGGGCCACAGGGTAGGGAGCACGCCGCAGCTCACCGAGTTTTCAAACTCAGCCGGGACCTCCCTACCGGGCACACCCTCCCCTGCCAGCCCCCAGAGGCCTGCCAGCACCCCCGCCCATGCCCATGTGGCTCCTGCAGCCACCTCCTCTCACCACGTGCCTGGGTCACCCCATCTACTCGCCACCCCCTCGTCTACAGGGACCCCCTGGACCCCCGCGGCAGCTGAGTGAACGGCGTCACAGCTAGGGAGAGCAACTTGCTCTGATGGCGGGTGGGGGTGGGGAGGCCCGGATTCAGCCCAGTCTCCCCAGGCTGAATTCCGGGTGACCCAACTGTCCTGGGTGCCGACTCGCCAGCCCGGGAGGGGCAGGGCTGACCCGGGGGGCAGCTTCCAGGTGCCCCCCGGCTCAGGAAGGAGGGGTCGGAGAAGGTGCAGGAGGCCAGGCCCAGGCCCAGGCCCCGGAAAGGGCCCCAGGACAGCAGGGCCTCACTGCGCGCCGGGTGTGGTCTGCCTTTAGATGACGGCACACCTCGGCTGCGAGGTGATCCTCCTGGGCCAGACAGAGGGGGTTCTGGGCCTCTAAGAAAGGTCTGCAGTGCAACACACCGACCCAGGCCGCGTCCTCCAGATAGGAATTCAAATTTCATTACTGCAGCAGGAACTGTAAGTTCAGGAAACTAACGGTGGCAGCTTGATTTATGAATTTGACATATTTCTTGAACTGGGATTACATTACAAAGGGGAGGGATTCCGAGCAAGCCAGACCTTGCCCACATCTGCAACCATCACGTCTGAGGGGCTCTGTGCCCCCTGCTCTGGCCGGCCCGGCTGGGGTCAGAGCCCACCCTGCTCCCGGGACGGAGCCGGAGCAGACTCGGAGTCCACAGGAACAGCTCGCAGCTACCCACCATCGCAGAAGAGAACCTGAGCTCAGAAGCATTTATGGTCAAGCTGGCAAGAAAAAAATGATTCTCGCGCAAGAAAGTGCTCATGTTGCTGTCACCTGACTTCCTCTCAGGAACCCCGCCCGCCGCAGTGTGCACCCCAGGGGTCTGCGCTTGGGGCAACCAGGGGCGTGGCCTGCAGGTCTCTCCCTGAGCGCATACGAGGGGGACCCTGAGCCAGACCCAGGTCGGGGCAGGCTAGGGGTCGGAGAGGAGGCGGGTGAGACAGCCCAGGCCCTTGTGCCGGGAGCAGGGAGCCAATCGCCCCCGCCACACCAGCAGCAGTGAGGATCAGAGAGGCGCAGCCAGGTGTCTCCTCAACACAGATGGAAACGGGGTGCTGAGAGGCCAGTCCGGGCGGTTCTGACCCACAGGCTCCGCCTGGGTTCTTCCTGCGGGCCACAGCTTTCTCTGTGCTGCAAGATTCCACCAGGAGCACCGACGCCCATGGACCCAACATCACAGCCGAGGCACGCCAGGAGCTGGGCAGATGCACCCGCTGCCTCACAGTCCCAGCGGCCTGCCTGCACCCCAACTAGCTAGAGTCAGGCTGCGAAGCCTCCCACAGAAACAGAAAATGTGCCGGGAGGACAGATCGGGCTGTCCTCCTCCAGGAGGCCCAGGGAAAGGGGTTCTTGAGGCTGAGGAGACGAGGAAACGGTGGGCGGGGCTGGTGGGGTGACCAGGGCAGAAGCGGGGTGACCTGCTGAAGCAAGGGAAGGGCCCTGGGGCCAAGCACGTGTCCCCCTGTGCCAGGTGCCTGTGCACGCGCGTGGCGGTCACACGAAAGCCTCAAGGTGAAACAAGGGCAGATACAGAAGGAACCCCCGACAGGCGGCGTGGTTACAGACAGAGCCGGGCGCGGGCAGCGCTGGCTGCGGAGCAGAGTGGGCGACGGTGTGGCAGGGCGCGAGGAGAAAGCCTCCGAAACCTGAGAAGGGGTCACAGAGAAGTCACCCGTGACCTTGAGTTCTAAAGGCCGGGCCAGGCTCACCGGGCAGGAAGGGGCTGGGAGGCCAGGCCGTGGCCCTCGGCCGACGCTGCAGGGCCGGCCCGCGAGAACACAGCCCGCAGGCCCTGGTGCCTGCCTGGGGTAACGCCCAAGCACACAACAGCACCCGCCGCTGCATCCTGGGCCCCCTCAGTGCCAGGGGCGGTGGTGCCCCAAGCTGTCCTGGCACTCTCAGCTTCTGGCCGGGGCGTCTGTCTGCGGCGGCCCCCCACACGGCTGCTCCTCTCACCTGTCTCGGCTCTGGATGCCCCCGCAGACCTGGCTGTGGTCCGAGGGGTCAGCCGACAGGCCAGCCTCACTGATAGACAGCGAGCACAGACCCACACCGATTGTTTGCTTCCCAGGCTGTCATCTTCCCCACACTGCCGTGGGTCCTGGATCCCGAAAGGGCTGGCCGGGCCGGCCTGACTCTCGGGTGCGAGCTGTGTGAGGAAGGGCCCAAGCTGGGCCCCCCTCGCGAGCCTGACGGCGCCCTCCCCACCAGCTCCACCTCCAGGGCCTCTCCGTGCGGACCCAGCAGCTCTCGGCCCGGGGCGTTCAGGGGTCGGACCCCTTCCCCGGTGACCAGCCACTCCCCGGCCAGCATGGAGTCTGCGAGCAACAGGGCTATCCCAGAAATCGCGTGGGCTGCTCCAGCTTCTGTCATTGCTCCCAGCAGCACGGGCCAGCCTGACCGGGAGGTGTGTCTACAGCCATCCTGGCCACACTCGTCACTTGGTGCCACCAAACCAAGTCCAAACACATGGAGGAAGACACAAGCAGGCGGCCCCTCCGAAGCAGCCAGTCCTCCCACCTCCCATGCTAGCCCGTGTCTTCCAGAGAATCTCCGCTAAGCTGTTCAGCACACGGGCTGGAAGCTGGTGCCTGGCTTTCCAGCCGGAACGCTCGAGTTACGTCCAGGTCAGAACGTTGAGACACCGACAAGGTGGCCCTCCGTCACTGTGTGCCCTCACGCAAGTTAAGGTTTGTTTTCTTTTAAGAAAATGGTCAGGGCCTCCCCTGGTGGCGCAGCGGTTGAGCGCTGGGCTGCGAAGCTGCCCGCAGCCTCTGCAGCGCCGGTTCAATCCCCAGCCGCCGGGTGAGGGTCCCACATGGCGCGCAGACCTCTCCTGCCGCCCGCTGCTCCCCTCAGCAGAGTATTTTGTCAGTCTGCCTGCTCTGCTCCCGGCTCTGGCGAATTCTCTCACCCTCCTGCACTTCTGACTGTACCCAGTGCTTGTATAAATAAATAAATAAATAAAATCTTAAAAAAAAAAAAAAGGAAAGAAAGAAAATGGTCAAAAGGAACTGCTGATTATTGATGTTTTTGTGTTTGGAAACATCTCGGCCTTTCCAACACCCGTTCTCATGGACTGTCCTTGTGACACAGTGTTTAAATGCACCGTCTCTGGACAGCACAGAGAGTGTCTAAACAGGGCTGCTCAACACACCAAGGACAAACACGACACGCGACAACCAAGACCCAGGGCCTCCCTGGAGGCCTAGGGGTTCAGTCTCAGGCTACCACCACAAATGCCTGAATGCGATCCCCAGACAGGGAGCTACCCACACGGCACAGCAGACCTCTCCTGTCTCGCCCGCTGCTCCCCTCAGCAGTGCATTTCAGTAGATCTGCCTGTTCTGCTCCCCACTCTGTTTTTGGGGAATCTTCTCCCCCGCCCCACCTCTGGTTTCCACCCCAGTTCTTCTATGCAAAAATAAATAAATAAAATCTTGTAAAAAATAACAAAGCTGACATGCCATGCATCGCTAGCATCTCTGTCATGTGTCTCTCTGTCCATCGTGTACACACACATCTCAAACCACTTTCTCAGGACCCCAAACCTTCACTCTGAAAAGGTGAGTGTGTTCCAAATTCGAAACACTCGTGCTGACACAGCCTGTGTGTCCTGCACACGCCAGGGAGCCGCCCTACCTTGTCTTGGTTTTCTTTATTCTTGTAACACAGATTTCCAATCAGACGAATGAGATGAGACTTGAACCCCTCGACCATGTTGGACACGTTGCCGTCCCCCGTGACGCAGCCCGCGGTGCTGAAGATGTTCGTGGTGTCGTGGCCAGCGACGTGGATCAGCCGCAGAAGATCTGCGCCCAAGAGAGTAAGCGCCATTTTCCACGGGAAATACTCGTTGTTTTGATACTACTTTTCCATAAAGAAATCTCATTTCTTTAATAGACTAAAATACAATAAAGGGAGAGTCCTGAAAGCTTGCTTTAAATAACTGTCACTTGTCCACCATGAAAAGGGAGCTAAACCTTTTCCACCGCCGCCCTCAGAGAGAGGTTTCCAGCCTCACGGCAGCCGCGTCTGAAACACAACACCTGGCTGCGGAGCACAGGACAGGGTCCGCGGACTTTTTTCTCATTGGCCGGATAATCAGAAATAACATGTTATACTCTCTGAGGTGCCTCTAGGCAGTCTACGAAAGCAGAGAATCTTCCAGAAGCTGTATTTAAGTATTTCCACGTTATCTCCTGGAACCCCACGCTAAGCCTATTAAGGGCAGATGTTATCTCCCCAACTTATAATGACAAAAGCAGGCTCAGATAAGTGACTTGGCAGCGCAGGACAACAGCCCACATCTGCCGGCTCCAAAGGCAGGCTGTGCAGCTTCCCAGGCTCACGGTAGTTTAGTCTAATCATCACCACGAAAGCACTATATTTAAAACAGAGCGCTGATGGGAGATTCCACAGCTCCTCGCTAACTCCTCTATGCCCATCTAGCTCCAAACTCAGCTGTGGGGCTGCAGAATAAGTATAATCTTTTTAAAGGAAAAAAACCCAGCAAACAGTGAACAGAAACCCCATTAGCTTGGCTAACCGCAAGGAGCAGGTTCCAGCAAAGCTTGCAGCGAGCAGCTTTTTAGCAAAGATGGTGGTATTTAAACAACGGCTTCTTGTTTAAAGTAGTTTTGTTATAAGAATCAAAAACGTAGTTACTAAAGTATAAGGCATTATTCTTTGTGGTCCATAAACGCAATTGGGAAAAATCTGCTAACAAATCTGGTAAAACTACAGTTGTCAGACATCAGCCCATGCCCTCCAGCCCCAGCGCCGGGGCAGGGGGCGGCACCACCACGGCCTCGCGGCAGGGACAACTGCTAAGTGCGCCGGGGGAACAGCCACCAGACTCTCATCTACTGTCTAGGCACCCCGACTTACTGACAGATAAACAGATAGGTAGAGAGGCACACAGGCAGGCTGATAGACAGACAGACAGACAGCAGGTATGTGGCAAACACTGAGCTGTATAAATCCATTAGGTTCCTCTCAAGAAGAAATATTCTTAAAAAAAATCTCAGTACCCCAAAAATTAAGGGTCTGTGCTTGGGCTCCTATGACAGCATGACAAGTCAGGTTTTTTCCTTTGCAACGGCCATACGTGAGGGTCACTCACCGATCACTCTTTCCAGCAGGCCGGGGAAGGCCTGTAGGCCGCTGAGCAGGTCTGCGTGGGCCGTCATTTCGCAAAGGACGTCCAGAAGCCTGATGGTGGCCAGAGCCTCCTGGGCAACAGAGACATGGGGCTTTGAAGTCAAGCGCAAAGGAATTTATAGAAATTGCTAAGGGAATGACTACTACGATCCCCATGCCTTGACACAGCCACAGAGAAGTAAAATCATCGAGAGCCAAACCAGCGCATTAAACAAGGGTGGGAAAGACCCTCTGCACTGGCAGCCCAGCCGCCAAGGCCCGCAGACGTGTCAGGACGGGTCTTCCTGGAGCAAAGAGTCAGGAAAGTTCTTATTCAAGCAAAATACCTTCCAACAGTGGCTAGCAAATGTTCAAAATTGCTAGCTACGTACATAACATTTATGCAAATACTTTCTTTTTAAAGCATTTCCAGCAAGCAAGTTCTGCTTTAAAGATACAAATACCCCATGAAATACATTAATTTCTCGTCCACAGGAATTCTGTAAAGTGTTGTGGTTGAGAGAACTCTGGTTGCAGGAACTTGCATTATTTCTGGGTAAATATAAACCCACATGCAATATCCTGGAAGGCTGGGAAACGTGACTCGCAAACGCACACATCTACCAAATAATTTATCATTGCGCAGACGCCGCGGCCGAGAAGCTTCCAGCCAACGGCAGCAGAGCACTGTCAGGCGTGAAAATGCTCGGTTGCAGTTTCTGCACAGGTTTTGAGCCGCCTTTTATTTAAAGTACACATTATTTGACAAACTGTGGTCATAGTATTAATTTAGATCATAAAGCTAGTATCCTTCAAAAAAAATTACTTTCTGCTTTTAATTCTATATGCATATTTACTGTCCTGTAATTGGGAGATTTAAAGGTAAGATTTTAATACTCGATACTGGAATCTCAAAATAAATAACAAGAACACACACACATTTTAATGCCCTGCTTTGTTCATTTTACTTAATAGCTTTCATTTTCTAGCTAAAATGTTGGGAGGAATATTAGTCTGATCTTAGTACCAAGTTGGAGGGCAAAGGAGTGAAATCCTGCCCCCTGCGCCCTCCCCCCGGAGCCGCCATGGCCGGCACCTGTGGCCTTGCGGCCTCCCTGACTGTGGATGTCTGGTCTAGAGAGCCGGGCGTGGGTGTGTGTAAGTGGGGACACCGTGTGTGGGGTGTAGGGTGTCATCCTGAGGCCGCAGGGGGAGGCTGCCAGGAATGTGGGAGAGGAAGCCGTCTGTCCCTCCTCGACAGTAAAGCCCAGGGCTTCAGAGTCACCGTTTCATCTGCGAGAAGCGACACCGACCTGCCCTCCTGGGTGGCGCATGACACGCGTGTAGGAGACGCTGGAGCAAACCATGGCTGCGTACGGCTCTTGTTTAAGAGGGGTTGCTCAGCTGCCACCTCCAGACAGCCTTTCTCCTCCAAAAAATGGCCAAGATTGGTCTGGGGCAGAGCACAGGCAGGAGGCTCGCAGACACCTGGCGCGCAGCAGCCAGCAAGCCTGAGACCACTGGGACGGAGTCCGGAGAAATCAGGAGCCACCGGACAGGCCCCGCTGCAGCGAGGCACCTTCGGGCGTCAGCGAGGACAGCTGCAGCGACGGGCAACATCATAAGGCCCGAAGGCCACGACTTCATGCCAAGGACTCAAAGGGGATCACCTGCCCGTGTTTTCTCGGACAGTGGCCAAGCCAGCTCATCCCCTGGGGACTGGCCACCGAGAGGAGGAATGGGAGGCTGTGCTCGGAGCTGGGAGAACGGAGCCAACAGCCTGACCAGACTCAAGCAGCCGCCGAGACCACTGAAGGCCGCAAAGAATGTACAGTGTCACCCTGGGGAAAAGCTTCCCCTGTATAAGGCAGCAAGATTCTTTTTGCACATGCTCGTGAAAAAGTGTGTCCTAAATGGTGACCTAATATGAAAAACGAATGAGTTTGGTCACTGAAAAAAAAACAAAAAGCAAGAGAAGTGGTAATGACACCAGCGTCATGAGGCTGTAGGTTATGCCAGCCTGGTGCTCTGTGGGCTCCCATTTTAAAATGTCTCAAATTTTTATGTACAAATACTCCCTGAATCAGCAACTCAACTTCCAGGAATGGATAATCCCAAACAGAATTTATAATTTGACTCGTCTAAAATTGCAAAGATATTCGCACAGAGATGTTCACCGCAGCGGTACGTGTGAAGGTCGTGGGAAAAACAAACCCGAAAGCAACTGACAAGTCTATGGAAGAAGCCAAGGGCGACATCCATACCGCGTCTCCGCAGCGCAGGCTACACGACTGCCACCAGCGCGGCCAGAACACGGGCGTGTGAGCCAGTGGGAAGAAGCACGCGGCAGCCGGTGAAGAAGCAAGCTGGACAGCGGGACAGGGAGATTGTTAGGAAAAAAGAAAATAAAAAATGCCTGTGGCTGTCTCAAAAAAAACCCCACCAGCGGGGAAAGAAAACGGAGATGCTGATACCGCTGCAGAAAACAGCAGGGCTGGGCCATTTTTAACTTTTTATTTCACTGACCTCAGTTTGAAATACTTGTTTTTACAGCAAAGCAAATACTACTGGCTTAATATAAAAATTTAATCCCTGAAAGAATTAACTTTATTTTTTTTTTTTAATTTTATTTATTTATTATTCATGCAAGCACTGGGTACAGTCAGAAGCACTGGAAGGTGAACGAATTCACCAGAGCCAGAGCGGGGAGCAGAGCAGACAGAAGGACCGAAGGACACTGCTGAGGGGAGCAGCGGGCGGCAGGAGAGGTCTGCGCACCGAAAGAATTAACTTTAACGGGCCTCCCCGGTGGTGCAGCGGTTGAGCGCTAGGCTGCGAAGCTGCCCGCAGCCTCTGCAGCGCAGGTTCGATCCCCGGCTGCCAGCAAGGGTCCCACATGGCGGGCAGACCTCTGCTTCCCTCAGCATTGTATTTCGTCGGTCTGCCTGTTCTGTTCCCCGCTCTGGCTCTGGTGAATCCTCTCACCCTCCCGCGCTTCTGACTGTACCCAGTGCTTGTATAAATAAATAAATCTTAAAAAAAATAAATAAATCTTTTAAAAAAAATTAACTTTAACTCACTCCATATACAAGCATTAAGTATATATGTATATATGTAACTCATTCCCGTGTAACTTAAGCAGGGGTGCAGGAGTGAGACAAGGAAAACCCACCACCAGAAGGTAATTTTCACAGCGTCTGGATACAGGAAAATATGAAGCTCAGATTTTTTTCAGCTTTCTGGAGGAAGGTGGGCTGGCTGCAAGAGGTAACAAGCGTGAGACTCAAGACGGGGCTGGCCCTGTAGGCTGGGCACATGGGCCTGGCAGAGATCGAAGATGGAAAACAAATACACGAAACTAGCCGGAGGAGAGTGGGGCCCTGCCAGGTGCTGTGGGCAGCTCCTGAGCAGACAGACCAGCAAGCTCCCAGGCGCCACGCAGTGGGTGCCTGAAGCTCTCAGCTCGGATGGGCCCCTCCACCCAGCCCACCGCTCCCGGTCACGTCCACGAGAGATGTCGACAGAGTAACAAAGACGTCACCCCAAAGACCTGTGTTGCCACACCGGCCACAGCACAAGGAAGTGTGTCCCCCCCATGGGGAGGGGCAGGGAGACAGTCACAAAGCACCCTGTTTCTTCTTCGTCTGCTGAGCGCCTACTGCACACACAACACTCGGAGCGCAACAGCCAAAACGCCTGTGCTGTGGAGCTGAAGTTCAGGACAGGCAAGGACGACAGGCAGGGTGTGCAGAGCCACTCCATTTCTGCCATGCCGTGTGCACGCGTGTGTGCTGTGTGTACACACAAACATCTGTGTTCATGAGCTGTGTGTATGCACGAACGTGTGTGCATTGCTGTGTGAACATGTGACCGAGTGCAACACTGTGTATACACATGAACGTGTGTGCAATGCCGTGTATACACACAAGCACATGGTGTATGTCCATGTGAGCACTATGTGTGCTACGTGTACATGTGAGCATGTGTGTCCTGCACTGTGCACATGCGAACACTATCCATGTGCCCGTGTGACTGCACTGATGCATGTGCTGTGTGTGCATGTGAATGTGTCCCATGCGTACAAGGAACATGTGTGCACATGTGTGAATACATTGTTGCTGTGCACATGTGTGGTGCTGTGGGTGCATGTGAGTGCACGTGTGTGTGCGTTTTCAATGCCACCTGCCAGGAAAGTCAGCTAGCCAGCAAGTGTTTGAGGCCCTCCCCGGCTGGCAGGAATCCGGCACCATTTTCCCTCATCAGCATTTTCTTAAATTTCCAAAAACAAGGACCAAAAAGAGTGCAAACTGGGCGGTGACCGAACAGCAAACATTTCTGCAGGGAGACCCAGACTCGGGGCCAGCAGGCGAGGCTCTGATGGGGCGTCTTCTGGGTGCAGCCTGCCCGCATCTCACCATGTTTCCACACGGAGGAGGGAGCGGGGGCTTTCGGGGGCGTCTCTGACAAGGCCACCAACCACTCGGAGGGCTCACGGGTCCCAGCGCCCCACGCCCTGCCCTGGGCATCTGGACTGGGGGGTGGGCACACCCGTTGCAGAGCATGCACTGCGCGTGCTGCGAGCCAAGCTTTCCCTGGGGCCCCCGGGAGGGCAGGAGAGGCAGGGGCCCGAGAGCGCCCTACGGTGTGGCACCTCACCTCGTCCTCCGTGTGCTGCTCAGAGGTCAGCTTCAGCACAACCCTGCACTGGTCCACGAATGTGCTCGCGATCAGCTGCGCGTGGCTCAGGAAGGCAGGGACGTCGTCCTTGGTCAGCGGCTCGTCACCCGCCATCCTGGAGATGGTGAGGTCCAGCAGTGCCACCCTGCAGACACAGGAGGCCCCACGTGAATGCGGACGGGGCCACAGGGCTCCAAGCTCCCCCGGGTTTCGGGGGAGTTTTATGGCCCTGTGTGTAGTGTCCAGACAGGGACAACACTTGTGAGTGAAACCATCTCATCAGTGCTGATGTGACCTGGCTGCAGAGACGGACCTGCTTGTCACGTCCCCAGCAGGGCGCCAGAATGGCCGGCATTTGGGCATGACAGTGCCCCCCGGGATTTCCCCATAGTGCGCTTCGCCGCACTGCCCAGACCACCTGCTCTCACGACGGGAAGGTCTGCGGCTCCAAGAACCAGCAAGTCCACGCACCAGGGCCCGACCGCGAGTCCGGCATGTCTGGGGCAAGATTCTGCCACCATCCTCGCGACATCGCAGACCGTCCCATCACCTGCCAGTTGTGGTGACCGTCTGGGGTGCTGGGACCATGTCCACGGGACAGCAAGCCTCAGGTGGCTCCACCACCAGCTAGTCTGCACCCCATCCTCGGCCCCCGGGGCCCTGAGGCGCCCTGACCTTGACGTCGGGCATCTCTGGGTGTTCAGGAAAGGTCCCCACATCTTATTCTCAACCAAAGCTATAAACGATGGGGCTGGAGAGAAAAGCACTGTCCCGGGCCTTAGCACCCGTGAGCTGTGCCAGGGAGATGCCCCTAGGAGATGAAGGCCGCTTGGCGGACTCTGGACTGGACAGCACGGCGGACAGGGAAGCGGCCAGCCCCGTCAGAGCACGGCCTCACTCTCCTCAACCCTGCGGGGCCGGGGGGGGCGAGAAGCAGCGGGTGAGGCTGGAAGGCGGCACAGGGCAGGGGGTGAGACCCAAGGGCGCAGCCACCCCAAGAGCCCTGACGTGAAGGGAGACGCCAGGAGACCTGGCTGGGCCCTGCGGAGGCGCCACAGCACGCCCCAGGCTCCCCGCGGAGATGAGCATGGGAGATGCTGGGGGAGGCCCAGGCCTCACACCCGCTGGGGGGTCCAGGTCCTCTAAGCCGGAGTGGCCACGGCAGCAGCCAGCACTGAGCATGAGGACGGGCCTCGTGTGTCCTCGGGAGGGAGAGTCGGGCAGGGCCGGCCAGCAGACACCCAGGTCAAGCAGGGAGGCGGCGGCCACAGCACGGTCATCACGGCGGGGCCGGGAGGGCAGACACGCCCGAGCCCGGGGCATCCCGCACTGCCAAGGGATCGGCCTGTCCCTCGAGCTAGTTACTTCAGTTATTTACTTCTCTGCTGCAGACAGGCCGCGGCTGGGACGACTCCACGGGCGGGAACTTCCCTCCCCCTTGAGGACACCAAGGAAGAAAAGCCCGGGACCCGTCAGGGCCGCAGGGGCCAGAAAGCTTAAGTGCTGGGCCCAGCCTGCGGTGAGAGTCGCGAGGCCCCGCAGTTAGAAAAGATCGTGACTTCAATCAAAAGATTAACGTTTCGTAAAGTTTCTCATTGCCAGAGCTGTGCCGTCTGGATACTTCTGCTCCCCTAAGGCTACTGTCCGACGAGGCTGGGGGACCTCAGGCTGCGGGCTGGGCAGAGCGGGGCTGCTTCGTCCCACCCCACCGCGCAGGCGGGGGCCGGAGCCCGCGGGCGAGGGACCCGGCCAGGGCGCAGCAGCGAGCGGCGGAGGGGGGCGCCGCAGGGGGCCGGGAGCGCCGGGCACCAGGGCCACCGGGCGTGTCTCCGCAGGCCGCTCCCCGCAGCTCCAGCACGAGCCGTCCGCCGGGGCACGTGCGCACGCACAGGCACCCGCACCCACACGGCCACCGGCCAGTCACGCACACCCGCGGGCCTGGCCGCCCACCGGGCCCCCCCGCCGGGCGCACCGCCGTGGCTGGGCTGTAACGTTAACCAGCCAATTTAAAACCATTACTGACACAGAAACATGCACTTAGAGGGCCGGTGCCAGCGAGGAAACCACAGCCTCTCGGTCACGTGCGCAGGGTTTCCACGGAATGCTGAGCGCTCCCGCCACACTGGCTTCGGGGGTTACCTTTCTTGATTGCTCATTTTGGCGTACATGGCTTTCACCAGCTCCGGGCTTTTCAGAAAATGGTCGGTGATGATCAAGAACCTGGAAAAGAGGGGAGACCGTCGGGTGAGGAGCTGCCGCTGCTCTGGAAGACGGTCTCTCGTGGACGCCGCGCAGCGCGGGCCGCCACCGGGCACAGGGTCGAGACACGGCGTTTCCCCCGAGACCTCTCAAATACCCAGGGCACAGCGCCACGTAAGTCTCTCCAGCAGCAGCAGGTGAGAGCGGACGCCTGCAGGTCCACGCCGGCTCAGGCGGGTCTTCCAACCGCAGTGACAAAAAGCGGCGCCTTTCACGCCAGGGACACAGGCCCGCGGGTCACGCCGTAGAACACGAAATGCTTTCCCACAAGCCCGCTCGCTGGCAGCACCCCAGGCCACTGGGTGCACCCCTACACCACGCGGGGCACACCGCGCAGGTGCTCAGCAGGGCAGGCCGCCGGGTGCCCCCCACGCACGGACACAGGAGCAGTGGGACGACCAGCACGGGGCGGGAGGGGCCGGGCAGCAGAGGGCACACGGGACAGCGGGGGCCCCGAGCCCAAGGGGAAGCAGAGAGCACTCGAGCTGGGGGTGGACTCCGCGGGGGAAGCTCTCCTCAGCTGCCCGCCGGGCTGGCCGGGCTGGGGGCACGTGAGCAAGCACCGGGCGGGAACCGTGCAGTGTTCTCTGGCACCGCGCTTGAGCCGGGACGCCGTGCTGACGCCAGCCAGAAAGAGCCAAAGACCTGGAGCTGGCACAGCTAAAGAGACGACTCGTCACGGACAGCCCCAGGCCAATCGAAAACCCTGAGCTGAGGGACGAACCCACACCCAGATCTCTGGGAGGAGGAGGACATGGGGCTTCCAGGCACTTCTATCGAGAGTCCCCTTGCACCGATCTCTGGGGCGTACCCATCCCTGCTGGCTGCGCCTTGGCCCCGGGGCACGTGTCTATCAGGCAGAGGAAGGCCTGGGACCCACGCCCAGCATGAGTGCCGGCGGCCCCCTGGGCGTGGAGGGGCTCGTGCCACCAGCCTGTGTGGGGGCACCCTGTGTGCTGGCCCAGCACCTCTGGGTGCGGAGCCCAGAGTCCGAGCAGCACCTTACTACTGTGGCCTGGAGCGCATTCCTGCCTCTACGCTACTGGTCTGGTCCTTCTCATCACCCCAGTTCGAGCGCTCTCTGCTCCCCCCCAGACTTGGGGTCACCTACACCCCCTTTACCCCTGGACCCCTTGCTCTTCCCTGGCCCTCCAGCGCTCTGGCCACATGGCCTTGCTGCTCCTCACGGCGCCAGCAGAGAGGGCGGCCGGACACACGGTGGCGGCACCCGCCAGCCAGCCCGAGCGCGTGTCCACACGCCCTGGTCCTGCTCCAGCCGCGGCCGCGAGTGCGCAGCGGCATCTTCAGCTACCACCTCCGGGCAGGAGTCAGCTCCCCTCCCCCCTTAATCGCAGCCACCCTCGTGCCCCAGGTCCTCCCAGTGCAGTCCCTGTGGGTGGACTCAGAACCCCGTCGGGGCCTGGCTCAAAGCAAGCAGCGGGGAGAGCGCTCACTCGGCCCGGCAGCGAGCGCCGAGGGCGGCCGTCTGAGCCTTTCTAGAACAGGGACGGCTGCGACGATCCATCTGCAAACACACAAGATGGCGCCGTGCGTGGGCAGCACACGGGGGGGGGGGGGGCCCTGCTATCAGCGAGGCTGCTGCTGCTGACGGTGCCCCCGCCCCGGGACACCCACTGGGGACACCCCCTGCCCGGGGATGCGGCTGCAGCGCCACAGGAAGGGGGTTTTGTTTCTAGCAACTTGAAAATGGTAATTTAAATGGTTGTCAATTTTCGTGCCCGAGTTTAATGTGCCGTTCTGGTCTGTTTAGCTGAGAGTGATCGACTCCCCACTCCTGGGTGCCGCAAATTCTCAACTTTCACCCGGAATTCACTGCATCTGCTCTCTCGCCGAGCAGCCATCACGGGAGAAGACGGGGCCCCTCACGAGGAGAGACCCGCTCCTCTTCCACGTTCTCCAGGCTGCAGGCTCCTGAGACTTGTGATTAGGTTCTGCTGCAGAACTATTATTTCTGTAAAAGCAGAAATTCTGTGGTAACACGATACGAGGGAGGTGGGGTCCCCCAATCTGAAACCCAAATGCCACAAGGACAGCTAGAGACTGAAAGTTAGACCCCAGGAACGCCCCGACTGGATGGGGAGCGGGTAGCCGTCCTAGGGCGGGGAGAAACGCACCCCACCCGGGCAGCCAGGCAGCAGAGGGGCGTCAGGACGGACGTGGCCAGCAGAGTCGTGGCGCTCTCCTCCCCTGAGCCTCGCACGGATGACCCCGAGAGGCGGGTTCTTCACCTCCCTCTCCGCGCCGGCACCAGGGCTCCCGCCAGCCCCAGCACCACAGTCAGCGGGGAGCCGAGCCCAGGCTCCCCGTCCATCGGTCCACTGAGTCCAGACAAGTCCCGCCCACAGGGCACGTGTCTGCTGCCAACGCCCGCCCCACCCTCCGCCTGTCCGCAGCGGCTACACGGAAAACCATCACGCACAATCCCACTCCTTCCGTTTGTAAGGGGTGTTCAGTCTCCAGCCCGGGCGGAGGGGGCGCCCACGGCACTAGTACGCCGGCCCTAGGGCGCAGGAGCCTGTCAGGCAACGGGGCTGGGGCCAAGGGGCGGCCCGTGGGGATGGGTACGCCCCAGAGTTAGGGTGCAAGGAGGCTCTTGAGTGACAGCCTTTGTCTGCGCCCTGCGCCAGAGTCACACTCACAGGAAAACGGGCCTCGCAGGCTCCTTGCCCTTCGCTGCCGAAATGCAACCTCTGCCTCGTGCTGCGCTCCCCGGCGCCCCAGGGCGTCCGGCCCAGCCCAGTGCGTGGGGACTGGCGAGCTGCTGGAGAAGACGCTCCTCTGGCTCAGGGGATGCGTGGGTCCTCCCGTGGGGTGCCGGCGAGCAACAGTGAGGCAGGAGAGCACCCCTTCATGCGCCGGACGGCCCTGCTAGACAGCAGCAAGCGGGGGCCGGAGGCATCCCGAGGCCCGGAACAGTGGAGCCACCAGGCACGTGCGTCAGAGCCATGTGCCCGGCATGCCAAGAAGGCACTGGCCCGGGAGCCCGGTTCTGGACGGAGAGAAATGGGGGCCGGCAGGCTTCTCCACAAAGGGCCAAGCAGTGAGCACCCGGGACTCTGCAAGCCGAGGCCTCTGCCAGCCACTCAGCCGCCACTGGGCACGGGCCACCGACGCGGGGACCAGGGGGATGGCCAAGCCCCAGCAAGACTGTATTTATAAAATGAGCATGGGGGGGGCCTGGTGTGGGGCCACGTTTGCCTGTTTGTGTTCATGACCAGTCGCAGGGCCGGTGAGGTGGGCGCCACCTTCCAGCAACAAAGAGCGAACCAAAAAATAAATGGAATGAGCACTTTTCAGGGCGATGAGCGACGTGCGTGCACTAAACCAGCCAGCAAACGGGGCGCGGAAAGAGACGGGCCTGGGGGAATGGGAAGCTCGCTCCGGGGCGTCTGGGCAGAGGCTGGGGGAGGAGGCCGCGGACGCGGACGGGAGCCCCAGCAGGAGGGCGGGCGCGGACCCGGAGGAAGGCGCTCAGAAGAGCAGAGACAGAGGAAGTGGCGTCAGGACCTGCGAGACAGTGGCCGCCCCTGCGTGTCCGTGGGTCAGTCAGTGGCCTGGAAGCTGCCCCGGGGAGGCGTCCCAGCAAGGAACGCCGCCGCCACGGGGCTCTCGCGCCTCTGCGTGAGCAGCCACTGTTGCTGCTCTTGCTCTGTGCAAAATAAATGAGTGAGACAACCCAAACAGGAAGAAAATAATGCTTTGCTCACAGTTACAAATTTGCTTTCGTAGTGAAACCGCATACAAATTCACCAGGACAGTAAATTCATGCTGAGCGCGTCCTTAACAGAAGTGCGGGTCTCCCCCCTGAAAAGTGGCAGTTCCTGTGACCAGGGACATCGTCAAAAGTGCCAACCTTAGAGTTCAGCCCGACCCCGTCCATCCCTGCCGGACACGGGTCCTGGGCCCTTGGCCACGGCCACGAGTCTGACGTCACTCCCAGGGCCCTCTTCTGAACACGGTGGAAATGAACAGGCGGACGGCTGGCTCCCCAGAACCCACTCGGGCCATCAGAGCAGGGAGAACTCAGGGGCCAAACGCCAAGCCCGGCTGCGCCCAGGGTTAGCTCAGAGCACGAAAACATCTTCACACCCACAGACAAAAGGAACAAACATTTTTAGAAGGACATTATCCCAATAATTCAAACCAAGTGTTGCCAAAGACACTCTGGCCCACTCTTTCCTGTGCTGCTGGCCCCTGAGCAGAAAGGCCCCGCCCCCGAGACCCAGTCACATCTGTCCCCGTCCGAGAAAAGCTCCTGAGCCGAGAATTCCCGAACCCCACGTAGGTGTGTCCTGTGTCAACGATCCCGCAGTGCTGGCAGGCGGGAGGGCAAGGAGGGGGTGTTATTTCGTTCAGAGACGGCTTGTACTTAAGAAGGAAAAGTAGCAATTTTGTCGGAAGTCTGGATGTTTTGGGATCCCACTTTTGTCAGCCAGCGAGAGAGTCCTCACCCACAGCACTCCGCGTCCAGCCCGCGGGGGCATCGGCCCGGCCGCCTCTCTCCTGCCCAACAGCTAACGACCTTGCGGGCTCCAGCCTACACCGTCCTGATGCTCTTTGGCCCTTTATGACCTTTCACCCCTTATTCCATGTGGCGGGAAAGCCGAGGACGGTTCAAGTTTCTACCGAAAATATTTCACAAATGAAACAGAATCACCCACAGATCACGAGGCTGGCCCGGGAGGAGGCTTGCTGATTTTCCTGTGACAACCACTCTTGGTGCGAATGGCAAAGTCCAGGGCAGAAACCTCAAAGGGGCAGAAAAGCATCTTTTATGACAAAAACATTCAACAAACTAATTAGGAAGAGAAGGGAAGTTTCTCATCCAGCAAGGTCTCCGCAGGAAACCCGCGGCTAACAGGAGGCGGGTGGCGGAGCCCCGAGGCCAGGCCGGAAGGAGGGGGAGACGCAGCTGCCTGCTCCCCTGCTCTGCTCGGCACCATCCCGAGCTCCTGGCCAGAGCAACTAGGTGGCAGGAAGAAACAAAAGACAACTGGGCTGGAAAGATAAGTGCAAACCGTCATCTTTTTGCAGGTTACTTGATCCCAAACACAGAAAATCCTTTAAGTCACAAAAAAATCCATTGAACTAATAAATGAGTTCAGCAAGGTGGCAGGATAAAGGAATATTTTAAAAATTGTCCCACGTGGTCTTTCCATATGGGAGCAATCAAAGATCTATAAATAATTTTTTTAAATTGTATTTTTAGGGCCTCCCTGGTGGTACAGGGGTAAAGTCTAGTGCTCTCAAACTACTGCCAGCCTCTGCCGCACGAGTCGACCCCCGGCCAGGAAGCTACCCACACAGCGCAGCAGACCATTCCTGTCTCCCTGCTGGTCCCCTCAGCAGTGTGTCTCAGAGGCTCCGCCTGCTCTGCTCCCCCACTCTGTCTCTGGTGAGTCCCCTCAGCCGCCACACCTCCAGCCTACACCCTAGTTCTTGTGTGCAGAAATAAATAAATCTTTAAAAAAATTAAAAAATAAAATTTCATTTATAATAAAATTCCATTTATAATAGCATCAAAAAGTAATAAAATATTTGGAATAAATTTTAATTAAAGACATGTTTTACAAAAAGTTATAAAACATCGTTGAAGAAATTAAAAACCTAAATAGATGGGGGAAAAAAAAAAACCCTATTCACAGGTTGGAAAACCGTATCTTTACAAAATGGCAACAATCCCTGTTGAGATTCCAGAGGCTTTTGGGAACAAATGGGAGCCCTGAGCTGAATTTACATGGAGTGCAGGGGACACAGACACCCACAGTATCTTGAAAAGGGAGAACAAAGCAGACCCGGAGTCCCCAGCTCCGTGCTCTCGCATCCTGACTGCGCAGCTGTGGCGTCCCCGACGGCGGTAGCAGGGGCAGCCCGACCAGGGAGGAGCCAGGACAGGCACCTGCGAGCAGCGGCGAGACACCAGCGCAGCCCTGGGGGCTGCTCTACACGCACCCCACAGGCCACGCAGGTGGAGCCAGAGCCCCTCCTTTGTGCCCCGGAGGCTTCCGCGAGCCGTCTGACAATCCTTCGGATCACAGGGCCACGGTGGCCGACAAGAAGAGGCCCAGCCCAGGGTGTCTCGGGTCAAGGCCAGCCACCTGACCCACAAGGTGCCTGCCCAAGAACCAGGGCTGCAGGGCACCAGTGTTCCCTGCCACTTCCTGGCCCCCACGAGTAACAAACTGGACCTAAAGGAGGTCTGCTGTGTGCCCCCTGGTCGCCCAGCAGCCCCGGCCTGGCACGGCTACGCTGGGGCGTGCCTGGGGCAGCCCCCGGACGCAGTGGAACTCCCAGCTGACCACATGCCCAAGACCTGCGCCCCCTCACTTAAGTCTTGGTGGTCCCCTGTGGCAGCCAGGTGGTCTCCTCTGCGCCTCCGCAGGTGTCTAGAGTCCTCCCACCCGCAACCCAGCCGCCCTCCCCCACCTCCCACAAGGCCTCAGGACCCAGGCGCTCAGGGAGCCCAGTCTCCGGGACACTTACGGCCACTCGGACTCGGGCTGCCTTTGGTGGGCGGCTACGACGTCGATCGCGATGTTGAGGTTTTCTTCCAGGTCTTTCATCCGCTCAGAATTCAGGGTGGTGAACAGCACCATCGAGGAGTAGGCCACGATCTTTTTGTCGGGATGATTCAAGCACGACCTTCCGGGTAGAGAAACGGGAGAGGGGCGGCTTAGCAAGGCGGTAACGTACGATCACAGCACGGCTACAGTCCCCGCCCCGTTCCTAAACCCAGTGCGTGCTGGTGTTTTTCAAGAATTTAATAAAGAATCACGACACTGGGCACAGGACAGCAGGTGCCCGGCCTCGTCCTGCACCGGGCGGCCCCACACCCGCCTTCCCCGCACGCCGTCTCGCTCGACCTCACGGTCCCTGGACTCACCAAGACTTAGGTGAGGCCTTGAGTGTGTTAAACTACCGCAAAAGTAGCGAATTCAAAATGAGTCACAACACAAAGTCTCCAACATTAATGACCCCAAAGTGAAACAGGCAAATACCATCTGATCGGAGAACATAAAATCATTAACTTCGTCAAGCCTCAAAATGCTCGTCCTTGTTAGAAAGAAAAACCAAAGGAAAAAAGGATGCTTCAGGGACACAGGCATCGCCGGCGTCGGCGAGGAACAGCCATTGCGGGAGGGACGGGCCGGGGGGCACGCTTGAGCCCGTCCAGGTCGCCACCCGCCGTCTGCATGACCTCAGGGCCCGGCCCACGGCTGTCACCGGGCTACAGTCAGAGGCCGAAGTCGAGATTTTTATTCTCATTTAAACCTCACGACCCTCTTCTGGAGGAGGCACCCCCCTCTGAGCACACGTCAACCCCCACCTGGCCTCGCGCACAAAGCCAGCACCGCCAGCGCCGGGATTCCAATCGCCCACGTCTGCCTCACGGGCACACGGGAGGGCCGCCACGCAGCCTTGTCCAGAGCGGCTCCCGGTGCCAACATGGGCTCAGCCTCGCAGGACTTCCAGCCAGGCTGAGGTAACCAGCATCAGCACCGAGCCAGTCCCGGCCTCGCTGCTCGCAGGCGACCACGCCTCTCTCTCCTGAGTCTCTTCATTCCCGCTCACCTGCTCTAGCAGCACGGGCGCTCGGGGGGATCGAACACACCCAAGTTACCTGTGTTCCACCCGGCAAGCTCCGCCACGCCCGCAGGCGTTAGGGGTTCAAGTTGTGAAGGAATGATTTCCCCAGACTGGCCATTTCTCTTTCTACGGCTTGAACTCTGTTCTCTCCTCTCGCCTAAGTTCAATTAATATTCCTCATGAAGATGCTCTGCCTCCAGCTCTCCCTGGAGGGAGAGTGCACCGCCAGGGTGACCAACCTCTCCGCAAGTCCAGGACACTGACACAGCCAGAGCCGGGGCCGCGAAGGGTGCTGGGGGCCGAGCCACCCGTCCGCAGGCCAGGGCCGCCACAAACAAGGCCCAGTGTGGGCCGTGCATGCAGAGCTGCTGCCTGCTGCCCCGCTGCTGCCGCTGCCCAAGCACCCCTGAGTGGCCGCGCCTGGAATGGCCTCCGGGACAGCGGGCACCTCCTATCCTCTCCCGCCTCCGGGCCCTGCTCCCCTCCCCTGGACGCTCAGTTCTCCATGCACAGGATGAGCTGAAACCCTGACAAGGGTGTCACACCAGGGGCGCCCACACCCAAGTGGGCAGGGCCCAGGAACACACATGCCGCCTGAGCCTGGGCCAGGAGCTCCTCGGAGAGCCCGCCGCCCCGGGCCCAGTGTCTGCGCCCTGCACCTTCTTCCTCTAGTTTCCTCAGCGATTCTTATTTTAAACCAGATGTTTCTTTTCTGAAAGCACAGGTGACGTGCAGTTGAGGGCACACATCCTCGGGGCAGCTCAGCCAAGCCTCGGAGCAGGAGCACCCGGGCCAGGCGCCCACACCCCGCCGCTGGCCAGGAACACGCTGCGCAGAGGCCCCCACTGAAGGCCTGTGGCACCGGCCTCCGAACCTGACGTAAAGCGAACGATAAACCACACTCTTCCGCGGTTGGGAAACCCGACGAGGCACTCACAGGAAGAGCTCCGGGAAGGCGTGCATCCAGACGACAGCCTGGGACTCGGCATTCCGGGAGGCCGCGTTGCCCAGGAACTGCAGGCCGCAGCGGAAGGCTGGGAGGGAGATGGACAGAGACGGGGTTAGGGCCGCGCGGCGCGGTGGGGGACGAGACCTGCTCAGAAACATTTCACGTCACTGAACAAAGCCGCGCGCCTCTCCCTGGCGGCGGCCTCTCGCCCCAGCAGACCAGGACACGCGCCAGGAGCCCTCCCAGGACTCGGCGCCCACGCCGTTAAGCCCGCAAACCCGAACAACGTCTTGGGCTGTAAATGGGGCACATGCAGGCACCCGCGGGGACACCGAGGTTGATTGCCCGAAGCGCCTGCATCGCACGTTGTTAGTCCTGGGGGGGTTGAAACTCTAACAACGTGCCACTTACAGCGTTCGTGAAGTGGGAGGCCATCGAGGCAGTGGAAGTTAAAGAACGGTGGAAGGGGCCTCCCCGGTGGTGCAGCGGGTTGAGCGCAACGCTGTGGAGCTGTCCGCAGCCTCTGCAGCACCAGTTGGATCCCCGGCCGGCCAGGGAGATACCCACATGGCGCAGCAGACCTCTCCTGCCTCACCCGCTGCTCCCTCAGCAGTGAATTTCAGTCAGTCTGCCTGTTCTGTTCCCCGCTCTGTCTCTGGTGAATCCTCTCACCCTCCCGTGCCTCTGGCCTGACCCCAGCTCTTGTATAAATAAATCAATCCTTAAAAAAAAAAGGACAGGACAAATTATCAAACACCAGTGGGGAAGAGAAGACAAACGCCACTGACGGCCTGGGTGGGGGGCGGCTGTGCTGCAGCGTGAGCCCCACCCCCTGCCTCGCCACATAGGGGCCACTGCAGGGGTGGGACGGTCCCAACAAAGCAGCAGCCCCCACCACCCGGGACCCACCGGCGCGGTCCAGGCTGGCGGACCCAGAGCAGGGTCCAGAGACAGCGCGAGTTTCCTGCCACCCACCAGGAGCCTCCAGCCTCCAGGAAACACGTCCCTCTGCTGCCCAGCAACGTGGCGTCTTCATCTGCGAGTCCTCAGCTGAACACAGCAGAATCACGGCTCGTGAAGCAGGCCGGCACTCCCCCGAGACTGGTTCCCACTCCCTGGCCAGAGGCCAGGAAGCCTGAGTGGCAGGGACCGGGGAGCAGCCATGGCCGGGCCAGCAGGTCGGTATTTGGAGGACAAGCCCATCCCCCAAGGGCAGGTGCAGACTGTGGCCCCAAATCAAAACATGAAAAAACATAATCGAAAGGAACGAGGAGGCAGGAGCCTCGAGACGGGACTAGGTGGTGCCACCGTCTGAACAAAGGGGTGACACGGCGGCCCTCAGGCAGCGCCCGGACTGACCCCTCCTCCTCCCTGGGCCAGCGCCCCAGACTGCCCCCTCCCCCACTCTCCTGGGTCTGCAGGAAAGGACGAAATCACACAGCGTGCTTAAATGGAAAACTCCTTTACTCCCCACCGCACGGCGAGCGAGGCCTAAAGGGCCTGTTTCCACCAGACGGCGGGAACATGGCGCAGACCCTGCAGAACCGAAGACCCCAGAGGGCCAGGCTGCGAGTCAGTGTGGAAACCGGCTGACCTGATGGTGCCGCGGGCGCCTGGGAAGTCCACGTTCCTCAGGGCCTGGCCGAGGGCAGCCGACGGCCGCCCGGGAGACTAGGAGAGAGGCCCCCAGCCCAGCCCGCCGGCGCCGCCTCACCCCACCGCTCACCAGCGATCTCCACAAATCGCAAACGTCACAAAGCCCCTCAAAATCCCAAGAGCATCTTTACAGATTTGAAAGGAATGAAAGCCAAAACCAACACCAATACTCAATTAAAATAACCGAAGCCTGTGTTTACATAAAATTTGATGAGCACAATATATTCGTCACACCACTGTAATTATTCTCTGAAAATAATACTCTAAATATTATTTTGACAGTGTAATTACAGCTCTCACCTCAAGAGCAGTAACACAGGCCTGGCACGGACGCCCGCGTCCTCCCGGCTCTCGGGACCTGCCGGGGTGAGGGCGCGGAGGCCGCGGATGCAGCACAGTGGTCGGGAGCCCCGCACCCCGTGACAGGTCAGTGCTGGGCCTGAACTGACGCCCTGCAAGCTAGTTTCATTCTGAACGCAGACTTCGCTGAACCCAAAGCTCAAGACCATGGTTCACCTTTCTCCCGAGGCGGTAGCAAGTCGCTGCGCTCCATGGCCCCTCCCGGGCAGCCTGCCCACTGCCCTCAGCCCTGCCAGCCCAGCCCCAAGAGCCAAGCCCCGTCCCCTGTGCAGGGAGCCCTGGTGGTGCCAGCCCCCTGGCAGGGCCTGCAGCCGAGGCTCGCCCACCACGACAGCCACGCACATCCCACGTACAGCACAAAGCTGTGATTCAAGACGAACCACGGACGTTTCCCGAGGTCTGTGGACCGTCAGCAAGCCGCCGTCACAGACCATTGGGGGGCAGATCAAAACCAGAGTCAGCAGGGGGGAGAGTCAGCAGGAAGGGGCGACGGAACCAGCCCTGCCAGGGCAGGCAGGTGACTCAGCTGCCTTGGCGCTGCCTCGGGCTTTCCAGCATAAACTGGCCCCGGGGCCTCTAGCCCTTGGATACACCCCGGAGACCTGGAGTCGGGGCCACGGCGGGACGGGGCGAGGGACCCTGGTGAAGGAAGGGGGCGCGGGCCCAGCTGGAGTGGGTGAGAGCTGGAGATAAGGCTCAGCGGGGTGGACACTCCGAGGGCAGACTCAGCTGAACAGGCCAGACCCCGCGGACCCCATCAGACCCCCCGGCACCAGACCCTGCCACCCGCTAAACCAGCACCCCCGGCCAACGGCCTCACATCCACCCACCCCTGTGTAGAGGCTGCGTCCAGGCGGTGGGTGCCCTGGGTTGTGCCTGGCCGGCTCCTCCCCGTGGCCTCCCAGGGTGGCCCTGGCGCTATCCTCATCGCGTCCCCAAGCCGTCCAGTCGGGCACAGCGCTTGTCAGGGAAGTCAGAGGGGCATGCGGGTGAGAGACGCCACCCCAAGCGCTAGCCTTGACGCCACTCCAGGGACACCGCGAGTCCGTCGCCAGCACACACCTGTCAGGAGGGAGTCCTGCTCCACGCGCAGCTCGCGGAAGAGGAGAACCAGGTCCACGGCCACGGAGATGGTGTCCAGGCTCCTGTCAGGGTCGGACAAGACACAAGTCAGGCGTGTCCTCTCCAGCCTGTGCCTCGGATGGAGGCCCGAAGGCCGACGCTTAGCCCTTCCTGCAGGACGGCCCTCCCAAGGCACCCATGCCACTGTCCCCAGCCTGGGGCTGTCACCCGGGGTGGGAGGAGGCTCTGGGGACCTCGTGGGTCCTGAGCAGAGGGCAGGAGTGTCAGGGGGAGCAGGCAGCCAGCCGTGTGGTGGCCTCTAGAAGCTGGAAGGGGCTGGAGCAGGACTCTCTCTGGAGTCTCGGAACAAGAACGCGGCCGCATGACCCGTCCTGGACTTCTGACTCTGGAGCTTCAGCGGGGAGCGGGTGGGGGAAGCGCCCACGTGGGTACGATTCAGGTCCTTAAAGACGGCCTCGGGGGGCAGCCAGTGGGGAAGGGGCAACTGCCTTTGCTGCCAGCAGTGAAAGGCAAGCGCAGAGAGGCAAACAAAGGGATTAAAAGGAAACCAGGGTCTCGATCTGGGGATTCTTTGTCCATTGGACGGTGAACGATGCTACACCCGGACGACGCCCCAGTGGGCCCTGGACCCTAGAGAGCAGGCCAAGGCGTGGCCAGACAACCTGAGCTCACAGCCGTCATCCTGGGGGTCCAAAGCCCAGGAGGTGCCTGGAACCACAGACGGCGGCGAGCCCAGAGACAGCTGGCCCCCGGCAGCCACACCTGCGACGAGGCTGACCCTGCGAGGGGCCCATGAGCAGCAAACAACACGCAGCGGCAGCGGCAGGCCGGGACGAGCCGCTTCTGATGTGCCATCGCGTTTATGTTTGTGATATTTGGATGTTATAGTTCACGTGCTACTTTTGCATAGAAAAGAAAAGAAAAAATTGCTTTCTGAGGCAGTGAAATTTTGCTTGAACTGGACTGTGGTTCAGGAGGCGGCAGATACAGCAGCACACCCCGGCGTGTCACCTCGTGCTCACAGCCCAGCGGCAGGGACGCCAGTGGTTTGCAGAGGAGAGAGCTGGGACTCAGCCAGCCCGGGGCCCTGTCCAGCCGCGTGGCGGTCACAAGGTGGCACCACGGGAGCCTCGCTCTGGAGGCCAGAGGATGGTGCCGGCTCCCGTTCGCTCGGGCGTGAGTCGGACGAGCCCTTGAACCACTGAGTCACTTTCTTCTTTCGTGAAAGTGGGAAAAGAGCAGCACGGCACCAGCGGGTGCAAGGGAGGCAGGTGGCCAAGGCCTGGGGCTGAGGGTCGGCCGCGGCTGCCCAGGGCTGCAAGGTGGACACCTGGACGTCTGCAGGCGCAGCCCGCCTGGCCCACCAGGCCCACAGTTGGGAAGTTCTGATGCATCATCACCCTGCGACCGCTCTCTCTGGTTCTCTGCAGAGGAGGGTAGCCTGGGCTAGATGTGAACCAAAGCACATCCCTTGCTTTGATCTTAGAGATCCTGCTCCCCCGTCCCAGCCCTAGACTGCGGCTGTCTGGGCAGTGGAGGGGGTGCTCGCAGGGCTCCAGGACCAGCCCATCCGCCCGCAGGAGGGCACAGAGCTGGGGGATCCGCCTGCAGCAAGGCCTGGGAAGAAAGGGCGCCTGTGTGCGGCTCCTGGCTCCATCCCAGTGCAAAGCTGAGTCCTAAGCGGACGCTGTGATATCAAAGGGGAGAGGTCCTGGGCGCTGGGAGAGCCGTTGAGAGGCAGGACCCGCTTGTCCACACACCGGCTTTTAAAACTGGGCCCAGCGGGGGTGGGGGGGGCCGAGAGGGGAGGGGACCTGACACCGCGCACCATCTCAGGAAGCCTTAAGAGGGGCTCCCGGGCCAAAGTAAGCAAAAGGGTAATGAATGAAAACACTAAGGCGAAATAAGACGTTTACACTAAGCAAAGGGAGCCGGGCCCACCTAGCGCCCAGGCACTTGGGCCCAGGGTCAAGGGACCAAACCAAGGTTGCGTCCACGGGCCACGCGAGACACACAGGGACGCTGAGGCTGCCCAGGCCGCGCCCAGCAGGTGCCACGGAGCCACAGCCCTCAGGGGGCCTTTGGGGGCCCACCGACACGAGGCGACACAAGGCCCCACGCGGGTGGCCCACCTGATGGCGTTCTGGTTCACCGCGCACTCGATGCAGGCGTTGCGCAGACAGCGGAAGCTCTCGGTGATGAGCTGCAGGCTGGAGGCCAGGTGCTCCGCCTGGGCCGGGTCCCGGCAGGCCAGCTCCACGGCGTGGGAGGACCGTTTCAGGATGTCCAGGACCCGCTGGAAGATCGTCCTGGGCGCCGTCTCTCTGGAAAAGGGTAAGAGGGTCACGACCAGGGGAAAGCACCCCCTCTCCAGCGTCTGGCTTCTGTCTGCGGGGAGCTGAGCGCCCTGTCCCAGCTCAGCCCTGGCACGGAGACAGCTGTGCCTATAGGAGACCTGCGGCCGGGTTCCTGGCAGACGACGGCGCTCACGGTCACGGCTCCCGTGCGCAAGGCCCCTCTCCCTCCTCCTCATGACACTGTCCACCCAAAGAGCAAGGCCACGGGGCAGTGAAGCCACCCAAAGCCCGAGATGCCAGTGCCCAGGGAGCCGCCATCCATCGGGAGGCGGAAGGAGAGGCTGGTGTGAGAGGGCTCCCCCCGGCTCCTGGGGTCCCCCGATGACCCGCCGTCCCCTTGCAGTCACTCCTCGCCTCACAGGCAGTAGCAGGCGCCCCAGGACGGCCCCCCCACCCCGAATCTCTCCCTGCAACAGTCCTGCAATTCTTTATGGCCTGAAAATCCACGGCCCGGAAGAAAACTCCTCCTTTACCAAGAAGAACCAGTCCCCGTTCCTCTGCTCCCCGGGCGCTGGGTCCCCGAGGGCGGAAGGGCCTCCCCACACCCGATGCGCTCCCCCACCGGACATAAATCCCAGAAACAGTGCGGACTCTTCTCCCTGTATCTCAGGGGCCGGGGACCGGCACTGGGGCTGGGGCTGGGGCTGCTCAAGCTGAAGGCAGCCGTGCGCGGGCGGGGAGGAACCGCGCTCCGACGGGAGAAGGGGCCATCGAGGCGTCGGCCGAGTCTTCCATTCCCGGGAAGATGCTCACGGGCCCTGGGCGCAGGCACTCGCAGAAATGACGCTACCGAGCAAACACCCCACTTGTCCTTCCCCACTGGGGACACAATGAGAGGCGGGGGCCGGGAGAGCCCTAGCGGCCAGAGCCTGAGTCTCTTGAGAACAGGGATGACGCCCCGGGAGTCCAGGCCCCTGGATAAAGGGCGGAGCCGCGTGACAACAGGAAGCTGCGGGTTTCAGCTGCCGTGTTTTCCTACATTAACACCAGATGGAGACGCGCTGACAGCAAAGGCCATGCAGACACTGAGCGCTCTGGCCTCTGCGCCTCCTGAGAGAGCCTGGGGGGAGCTGCCTGGCCTTGCAGGTTCAGAGTGGCCCTACTGTGTGCGGGTCCCAGGGAGAGGCCCTGTGCTCGCCAGCCCCGCCCCCACCACAGCAGAGGAAAGCGGAGGACACACAGGCCGGGTGGAGCGTGACCTCTGCGTGCACCAGAGCAACCAGGCTCCGGGACTGCAGGTGCCACGCGGGGCTGGTGAGGGCGGCTGAGCAGCGCCTTCTGTCACCAGCACAAGCGCCAGTCCTGGGGTGAGGGCTGAGGAGGACCAGGGAGCCAGGCCCGCGGGGGTGGTGAGCACGGAGCAGAGCCACACAGGGAGAGCAGTGAAGGGCTCTGGCTGAGACGCAGCAGACGGGGGAGAGCTGGGCAGCCTGAGGTCTGCCGGCTTCCTCGAGGACACACGGGAGGGTCTGAAGACGGAGGGAAAGGCCGAGGGTGCCCAGGGGAAGGGGAACCGAGGAGGCCTGTCCCCTCCGGATCGGAACATCATCTTCCCAACTTCTAGCAAAAACCTGGCTGAGACCGAGTGGCGCTGACGCCACAGGTCTGTGGCAAGCCACGGGCCCCAGGGCGACGGGCCGCCAACCCTCCGACCCTCCGACCCCCCCACGGTCGCTGGTGCGGCTTTCCCGTACTCCCTGGGCACCCAGCGCTTCGCCCCAAAGGCCATCGCCCGTGTCCCGCTGGCAGGCGCCTCTTCACCCTGACACCACGGCCCGCCTGCAGCCGCCAGCGCTGACTCAGCTGGGAGCCCGGCCTGCGCTGTGGTGAGCGTCCTGCCCACAGCCCGACCTCACTGGCCCGGCCACTACAAAAGGCTGGAGGATCACAGGCTCAGCAGCTGCCTCGCGGCCACACCGCCCCGGCCCTGCCTGTTTAGATTTGCCGGCTCAAGCGCTTTCCCGTCTGCTGTCCAGTGGGGGAAACTGAGTGTGAGAGAGGCGCACGCCGACCACATCTGTGTTTCAAGGCTGAGTCAGAACACCTGACCAGATGCCTCCAGGCCGCGTCCGGCTCGCGGCATAGGTGAAAATAGTGGACGCTGTCATCAGCCTCCAGAAGGTTCTGTTTATAGTGTTGCTTAACTCACGCTGTCCCCAGCAAAGTCCATCTGAATCACAGTTGAGTCAGGACCCCGAGTGAAGAGAGCTGGCAGCCCTGCGGGCTTTCCGGGAGATGGGGTTTGGTTTGGTTGGGTGCAGCCAAACACTTGCGGGCGGGGCTGTTACGCTTGCTGAAACCCCCTGGGCACGGACAAACGGGCGGTCGTCGGTCCCTGCGGCTGCCCTCACGGCCCCACCAGCCTCTCCTGGGGAGGGAGCCGCTTACTCTCAGCAGCGGTCGGGGGCCAGGGCGTTTTCACCCCGGACATCGCCGTCCTGCAGTCCCGTGATTTCTCGACACCCACCTCCCTCAAGCCTCGCAGCTGTGCTCCCACCTCAGTCCGCTGACTCACAAGATCACCTATTCTGGAAATAAGGAAAGTACCCGGCGCTCATTACACGGGGCCCCCGGGAGGTGCCGAGGCACAGAGTTCGGCAGAGGGACCCACCGCTGCTCCCACCCCAGAGGCCTGGTGGGCAACGCGGCCATTGCACGTGTCGGCCTGGAGCTCGCCGGGAGCCCACGGGCACCCAAGGTGGGGGCACCCGGAGGTCAGAAGAGGCTGGGGGTGGGTGGGGAAGTGGTGACCAGATCTGGCAGGGGAGCGAGGAGCATGTGCGTGAGCAAAGGAACGAAGGAAGCCTCAGACATCTGCCTTCACGCTGTAGCTAAGTCGGTGGTGAGACGTGAGCAGGTCAGCCCTGGCCGTGCGCCACGGCAGAGCCGGTACAGCGCAGGCGAGGGGACGAAATGCGCGGACGAGGGAGGATGTGGGTGAACCAAAGTCACAGCTTCGGAGCGATCAGAGCCACCCGGCCTCACGCTGAGACGCCCTGTCTCACGGCCGCTGGGCCTGGGTGCTGCCTCCGGCTGTGGACACGCCTCGAGGACCAGGCTGGGCTAGGAAAGGCCACAAAGGAGACATCCTGTCCCCTTCAGCCCCAACACAGGAGAGCTGGACAGTTTTTAAAGGGTCCATATACAGCCGACTCCAGGCCCAGGCCAGCGCCTCTAGCTGCCCTCAGCTGAGCGGAACCTCCGCTCTCTCTGGTCTGACCCAGGGGAGGACCCACTCCAAAGGGCCCCCAGCTTGGTGGGGGTCAGAGCCCTCGGGGCTCCCCGGCCAGGACTCCCTGCAGGAGGAGGGGAGAGCAGGATGCAGCATCCATGCAGTGGCGCCCAGGCCCGGAGGAGGCCGGGAGCTACCGGGAGGACCGCCCAGCAGCCGGACTGCGTCACCACGACTGGCGCCACGGCCTGCAGCACCCCCGTCTTCCTAGCCGGGTCAGCCCAAGCCGGGGTCCAGCAGCAGACCCGCGCAGTCTAGCCCCCAGCACACTGGAGAAAGGGCCCACTGCAGCGCTCGGCACCCTCAGCCCCGACAAGGGACCTGCCGGCGGGGCTGCCCCACGCGCAGCGGGTCACCCGACGGTGACTTGATTGGAGGACGCTGGGTGACCCGCACCGCCCCCGAGAGCCGCCTCTACCGGCCCATCCGCTGAAGGCCCAGAGCCCGCCGGCCGCCAGCGGGAAGGCTCAGACTGGGCGCAGTTTCACACCCAGAAGACGTCCAGGGGTCACAGGGCCACCCATGTCCAGCCGGTCCTGCCGTCCCCCTCCCTGGACTCTGCACACCACGCGCCCCTCCCAATTGTGAAGTCTCCTGGCTTCCCGGGGAGGGGCCCCAGGGAGGGACGTGTCAGCTTCCACGCCATTGCTTAGCATCAAACCAGGCAAAGGGGGTTCACTGGCCCCGCGAGCGCGAGGAGGGGCGCTCCTCCAGCAGGGTCTCCACGGAAAGGGGCGCGCCAGGCGGCGGCACCCCCAGGCGGGCAGCCGGGAACAAAAACAAGCACCGACGCCACACTCGTTGCAGCTTCACCCGCTTTATTTCGGGGACCCCTCAGGACGGCGCCCTAGTGAAGTTGGGGACCACACGCTATTTTTAGGCAAAAAATCTGGGTTTCGGGGAAGGCGCCCAAGCCCGCACAGCCCGTGAGGCCAGGAAGGAAATCGAGGCCGCCGGCACCTTCTCCCCGGCCGCCCCCCCAGGCCGACCGGCCCCCCCGCGCCCGCGCCCTCCGCGGGGCCGGCCCCCCGCGCCCAGGGCACCCCGGACGGCTCCGCCGGCTGCCCGCGCGCCCGGGCCGGGGACACACCGAGGCCGGCCCGGCCGGGGCGCCCGGGAGCAGGCGGCGGGGAGCAGGCGGCGGGGAGCAGGCGGCGGGGGCGCAGCCCGCGCCTCGGGCGCCTCAGGGCGCGTCCCCCCTTCGGGCACGCGCCGGCCGAGGGCGTCGGTCGGGGCCTCTCCGGGGGCCGCGCGGCCGCCAGAGCCCGGCCCGGGGCAGGGCCGGGGGGCGGGCCGCTCCCTCCGGGCCCCGGGGGCGGGCGCCCCCCGCGCCCCCGCGCCCCCCGCGCCCCCGCGCCCCCCGCGCCGTTACCGGTTGCGCGGCTCCTTGAAGAGCGCCGTCAGCGCGCGCAGGGCCTCCAGGTCCGGGATGGGCGCGGGCAGCGCGACGCCCGACAGGCGCGCGGGCGGAGGCCTGGGCGCCGCCATCTTGCCGCTCCGGCTCGCGAGCGGCGGGGCGGGCGGGGCGGGCGGGGCGGGCGCGGCGGGGCGGGGCGGGGCGGGGCGCGGGGGGCCGCGGCGGCGGGAGGGGGCGGCGCGGGGCCCGCGGCCCGCCGGGGGGAGGCGCGAGGGCGCGGCGGGAGTCCCGGGGGCTGGGGCCCGCCTGGAGGAGGTTGGGCCTGCAGGGGGAGCCGCGGGGAGGCCCACCCCGGGGGGCTAGGACGGGTTCTCCCCGGGGCCGGTGGGGGGCGGGGCTGCCCCCACCCCCACCCCGGGCAGGTGCGGGTGGGGGGTGCCACAGGGCGCGCCGGGGGTGGTCCTCCCTGCGGGCAGGTGTGAGCAGGGCCATCCCCCTGCGAGGGGTCCAGGCACAGGTCCTGCTGGGGGGGCAGGGCGGGGCGGGGGTGCCCCATGGAGGGGGGCCACCCTGAGAGAGGGAAGCCCTGACTCTCCCTGGAGAAGACTGGCCCCTGGCCCCGCCCGGAGGTGCTTGGGTGAGTGGCTGGCGCCTGCGGGAGCCCAGGCCGCTGCCCCTCGGCCTGCGGTCTCAGGGCCCAGAGCCCGCATCATTTGCTGAGTTTAAGGGAAGTGAACCGGCTTCTGGGGATCAGACAAGACCCTGGCTGGCGTGGGTGAGGCCCAGGGGAGATTGCGGGATCAGTAAGGTGGTCCCAGGCCGTGGAGGACTAGTGGGCAGCTGCAGGCGCAGGGATCCTGGGGCACCGCTGAAGCGTGAACACGCCTGGCAGTCCTATGGGAAGATGGGGGGGTGTTTGTGAGCTGGCCCTTGTGATGCTCTTTTCTGAGATGGAAGACAGCCAACACCCTGAGGTGGGGAGAGTGTGGACCCCGCCATGCAGGCCCTGAGCCTGCCGTGGGCCTGGCCGCCTCACTGTGCACGGGGCGTCACCCCTCGCGGGCTCCGTGGGCAGGGCGGCGGGTCACCTGGCTGCACCCCATGCGTCCACGTGTGCGGCCCCTGCATGGCAGGCGCAACCTCCAGAGCTCGGGAAGGGGCAGGGGCAGCAACCCTGGTTGGACAGCCTTGGCGCCTCAGCGCGGCAACCAGAAGTAACGGCCGATCTTCCCGGACACGCTTCCCGCCTTAGCCAAGGCTGTTGCCCGGGACGCGGCGACACTGTCCAGTGCCCGAGCTGCGTTCTCGGCCTGGAGCACCACTCAGCATGTCCCTTTGCCCCAAGTGCTCTAAGGGTTTCGAGTTAATGTGCGTTAAAAACCGAAGTTCCCCGTAGGAGAGTCACTGAGTAGTCATCTCCCCGCCCAGGGTCTCCTCGTGCCCAGCAGGGGCCTCCTGTCGGTCGTGGACAGGCTCCTCTGCCGTCCTGGTTGCCCTGGTCAGGCTTCCCTTACCACACTCGGATGCCTGCCCCTGGGGTTCTCCGCAGCTCGGGCACTCACTGCAGCTGCGTCTGTGTCTGTTAATTGCTCAGTTTTCTTCCAGAATGCACACTCCGGGCAACTGCTCAGTTGTTCGTTCAAGTAGGAAAGAATATTGTGAGAGCACTCCAGAAAGAAGAAGGCGCACCAGGCCTCCAGAAGAAAACATGCAACATTCCTGAAAGCATGGGGAAGAGCAGGGGCGGGAGGGGGAGGGGAAAACGCGGGATTAAGAGACTCACAGGGGGCCTCCCCTGGTGGTGCGGCGTTGAGCGCTGGATTGCGGGGCAGCCCGCAGCCTCTGCAGCACCAGTTCGATCCCCGGCGTCCGGCGAGGGTCCCACCAAAAAAAAAAAAAGAGAGAGACTCACAGGCCGGGCCAGCGGGAGGATGGGAGGTACCTGCAGGACGTCAGCCTTGGCTGAACTGACAGAGTCAGTATTCCATGTGGGCCGCGGGCGCGTTTAAACAGTTCGTGCCTGGCTGGCACGCCCGCGTGTGTGAACTAAACTTCAGACGCAACTGGTGGTCGGTAGTGGTGCGTCAAGGCCACCGTCAAGGCCACCCGTCAACGATTCAGCAATCGGGAAGTAACAGGCAGTAGGAAGGAAGGGAGTGGAAGGCCGGGGCAGCCGGGCGGGAAGGTGAGGGCCGAGCAGACCAGGAGTGTGGCGGCTGCGAGCGGGGACGGTGGGCCACAGCCGACCTGCCTTCCCCGCACCCACCTTCGTGGTTTACCGGGAATTGTCACAGTCGCTGTCCCTGCATGACTGTGGCTCCTTCGATGCTCCAGTGGCCTCCAGAGTGGGGGGCGGGTATTAGTTTGAGGTCTATGAAGCCTAAAATGTTACCTCTCTGGACCTTCTTAGCAAAGGCCTTCTCGATCTCTGGTACAGCATGTATTCTGGACTCAGACAAACCTGGCCGACGTGAACCCCGCTTTTGCCTCTTTGCACCTGACCTTGGACAAGTGACATCTCTTTGAACCTGTTATTTTTATCATTAGTATTTTTATTTTTTTATTTAAAGATTATTTATTTATACAAGCACTGGGCACAGTCAGAAGCACGGGAGGGTGAGAGGATTCACCAGAGCCAGAGCGGGGAGCAGAGCAGGCAGAAGGACCGAAGGACACTGCTGAGGGGAGCAGCGGGCGGCAGGAGAGGTCTGCGCGCCGTGTGGGACCCTCACCTGGCAGCCAGGGATCGAACTGGTGCTGCAGAGGCTGCGGGCAGCTTTGCAGCCCAGCGCTCAACTGCTGCGCCACCGGGGAGGCCCATCATTAGTATTTTAAAATAGAATAGTGATAGTTCTGTACCTACTTACTGAGTGGCTGGCAGGATTTGGTGAAATCACTGTCCTAGATGCAACTCCGCGAGGGGAAGGCGCATTGAACACAGGAATGGGTGCCTTTTTCTGCACCCTCTTGCAGGCAGCCTCCTGGGACTGCACTCCCAGCTGGCCATGTGCCAGACTTCCTGAATTTGGGGGGGGGGGCAGCTGCAGAGGAGCAATGTATAAACTGAGATGGACAGAGGAGGAAAGAGAGACAGCTGAGACCCTTGGAGGAGAGACAGGTGGGCGAGAGACAGTGAAAGCCGCTCCTGCTCCTTGGCCGAGACAGTGGCAGCCATTTTCTTGACCTTGAAGTGGATCCAATGGTGCATTTTGAGCTCAGGCCTCTCTGTCATCCCAGCTCTCTGGGCCCTGCCTCGACCTTTCTTCTCGCTCCCACTGGAGGGAGTCTTCGACGTGTGGCAGCTCCCAGCCCTTCATCAGTGTCGGATGAAACAGCTCCCAAAGCCACGTTTACCGGCAGTAAAGTGAGCCCAGGGACGACGTGGCATCCGCGGGTGCCTGCCGGCAAGAAGCTGCAAGCGCACAAGCAGAAATCCACAGACCTTAAGGGGCCCGGGTCCACCACCGTGATGGGGAATGCTGACTCTTCTGTCTTAGCAGCGACTGCAACAAGGCGGACATCAGACCCAGGACGTCTGGAGACGCCCTGGCCACGTTCACTCATGATTCTGTGGAGCAGGCAGCACCCCAGGCAGGTGTCCACTCAGGCCAGGTGGCCGCTTGCACTCAGCGCAGGAAATAAGTCTGGATGCATCGGGAAGGATGGGACCATGGCGTGTTATCTGACTGCTGTGCCATTGGGCCGGGAGTGATGATCAGTAACAATGCAGTGACCTGGAAAAACCCCAAATGTTAGAAAAACTCAAAACCAAACTTCTAATCATCATGGGCAACACGCCTGTGGCCCTGGCACACAGCCCAGGCCCTCAGCACTGGCCACTGGCTGGAGCCCCTGGGGCCGGCCCAGCAGGCGGGCAGCTGTGCCACTGCAGGCACCTGAGCGGCCTCCACGAGCTGGGGCTGGAAACAGCGAGGTTTGGCCCCTTGTGCTCTGGGGCCCAGGAGACCAGCACGACCTCGCTGGGCTAGATGGGTGCCGGGTGAGCCCTAACATCCTCCGGGGGCTCCGGGGGCCAGTCTGCTTCCGGCCTGGTCCAGTTTAGAAGCCGCCCACCTGCTCTGGCTCGGGGCTGCTTCCTGTACCTTCGGGCCAGCACAGATGGAAGGCGGGGTTGGCCTCGGCCTGCCACCCTCTGCCTCAGCCCCTGCCAGCCAGGCTCCTTCTCCTACCCCTGCTCGGGCCCTGCGACCCCGTGAGTACATGGGCCACCGCACAACTCGGGGACACCACCGCAAGGGCAGCTGAGAGCAGCCACATCCCTGTGAAGTGACCCCAGAGAGCAGACAGTGGGGCACCCGGGATGACAGCGGCCCCACCCCTCAGCGTCAGTGCTGCGCCTGGCCCGAGCCTCTGCTCCCGCCTGCCAGGTGAGGATGAAGGGGCTTTGGCCAGGGTCAGTGAGAGACCCCCATCCCACGCAGAGACGGGAGTGTGGACGAGGGGGCACAGAGTCCCTGGCGGGCAGGCCCGAGCTCCTCTCTTTCCCTGGGGAGGCAGAAGTCAGGGCTGCCCGCTGGGGGAGGTGCTGGCTGGGGTATGGGGTGAAGGCAGAGGCGGGCTGTGCGGGGAGCCGCTGACCTCGGTGCAGGCCCTGTGGGTCCTGGCCTCCTGGCAGGGACTTGCTGGTGGGCTGGAGGGCGGAGGGCAGGTGCCTGTGCAAATCCCCGGCCCACATGTGGCCGGATGAGCGGGCGGAAGGACAAGGGGACACGGCAGCAGGGGCTGACCGCAGCGATGTGCCCAGTGGTGGGAGGTGGGAGCGGGAGGCCTTGTCCACGTGAGCAAGTCCAGGGTGAGGCCGGGAGGAGGGCGGGACGGAGGCGGAGGCCAAGGGGCTGGCACGGAAGCCGCGGGCAGGCGGGATCCGAGGGCTGGGCCCGTGAACACCGTGCCCCTGACCAGCTGGGCAACTGCCCCACAACCGCCCATCCCTCACAACTGCCCGTCCCTCTGAAAATCGGGGCTTCGGAGCTCTGCCCGGCACCGGTGCTGGCAGAATCACACGTGGCTTCAAATACGTGAAGAGACTTCGTAAATGAAGAGGCTGGCGGGAGTGAGTTGGCAAGTTATTAGCCCGGACTCTGAATACTGACCACGGCCAACCCTACCC